ACCGATCCTGTTCGCGCCTAAGAAAGACGGAGGGTTACGGATGTGCATAGATTACCGAGCACTGAACGCCGCCACCGTCAAGAATAGATTCCCGGTGCCGAGGGTAGAGGATCTTCTCGATGCAGTGCAGGGTGCTAGAATCTTCTCCAAGATCGATCTTCGCTCAGGGTATCATCAGATTCGAGTAGTTCCAGAGGACCAGCACAAGACGGCGTTTCGTACGAAGCAGGGGTTGTACGAGTTTAGGGTTCTACCGTTCGGTTTGACCAACGCCCCAGCGACGTTTCAGACGCTCATGAACACAGTCCTCTCGGAGTTCTTAGGTTTGTTCGTTGTAGTCTACCTAGACGACATCTTAGTCTTTTCCAAGACGAAAGAGGAGCACGTGCAGCACTTGCAGAAGGTCTTTGAGGTCTTGAGGAGGGAGCAGTTGTACGCGAAGTAGTCAAAGTGCGAGTTCTTCCTTCCGGAGGTCGAGTTTCTAGGTCACGTCGTTTCCGCTAATGGCATTAGGACCGACCCGAAGAAGATCGCAGCAGTACAGGATTGGGTAGCACCGACCTCAGTCAAGGAGTTACAGAGCTTCCTCGGTTTCGCGAATTACTACCGTCGTTTCGTTCAGGGTTACGCTTCCATTGCTAGTCCACTCAACGACCTACTTCGGAAGGGCGTAGAGTTTCTTTGGGGTCCAGCGCAGCAGCAGGCGTTCGAGCAGATGAAGCAGTCGCTCACGTCTTCACCGACACTGTCGTACCCTGATCCCACTCGCCCATACGTTGTAGTGACCGACGCATCAGATCGGGCCATAGGAGCAGTGCTTCTTCAGGACCAGGGACGCGGGTTGCAGCCGATCGCGTACGAGTCGCGTAAGCTTAGGGGAGCGGAGTTGAACTATCACATACACGACAAGGAGGCGCTCGCGATCATCCATGCGTATAAGGTTTGGAGGTGCTACCTAGAAGGGACAGATAGTGTTATACGCACGGACCATTGCTCGCTTCGTTTCCTCAAGTCACACCCGCAGCTGAGTCGTCGCCAGGCTAGATGGATGGAGTTCATGGAGGGGAGTTTCCACTACAGGATAGAGTACAAGCCAGGCGTTCGCAACCCAGCAGATCCGCTCACTCGCCCTAGTTGCCAGCTCGCCAGCCTCACAGTCACTGCCGGCCATCCACTTCTCACAGCACTCTTCGAGCACGGTTACACAGTAGATCCCGACTTCACACAGCAGCCGCCCGCAGGAGCAGAGGTGCAGGGTAGTGTCTACATACGGAAGGGTACCACACGGATTTGGGTTCCTGCCTACCGCCCTCTTCGACAGCTCCTTCTCTCAGAGGCGCACGACGTAGTTAGTCGCACGTACTACTGGCCAGGACTTGCAGCAGACGTAGAGGATTACATTGTCAGTAGATCTGCACTGTGGATGCCCGATTGATCCTTGAGGGGTTACAGGCGCGTTCGCCTGGGGGGTTATGGGCGCACTCTGACCCGCTACTTAACAAGCCCTTTTATCCCAATGGTCTAGTGGTTGGGATTCTGACATGGTATCAGAGCGAAGGTCTCGGGTTCGAATCCCAGTGTGTGCACTTCGGGCATCCCAGTGCGGGGGGGTGTCAGAGGTCCACTGGAGATCCCCGATTGATCCTAGGGAAGGGTTACAGGCACGTTGGCCTGGGGGGTTATGGGCGCACTTACCCGCTACACAAACAAGCCCTTCTATCCCAATGGTCTAGTGACTGGGATTCTGACATGGTGTCAGAAAGGTCTCGGGTTCGAATCCCGGTATATGCACATGTAGGCCGTTGCTGCTGTGCTCAGTCCTGGGCCTCCCATTGTGGGGGGGTGTCAGTAGATCTGCACTGTGGATGTCCGACTGATCCTTGAGGGGTTACAGGCGCGTTCGCCTGGGGGGTTATGGGCGCACTCTGACCCGCTACTTAACAAGCCCTTTTATCCCAATGGTCTAGTGGTTGGGATTCTGACATACATTCGCTCGTGCGACACGTGTCAGCGTACGAAGTCCTCTCGCCAGCGCAAGGCAGGACTTTTGCAGCCGATTCCACCACCCGACCGCCCTTGGCAGGTAGTTACGATGGACTTCATCATGGCTTTACCGCGCACAGTTAGGGGTCACGACGCCATCTTCGTGGTAGTGGATAAGTTTTCTCGAGCAGCGCACTTCATCCCCACGCACGGCAAGGTCACAGCAGAGGAAGCCGCGACGCTGTTCGTAGATAACGTAGTCCGACTGCACGGGGTTCCAGATTCCATCATCTCAGACCGCGACCCTCGTTTCACTTCGAAGTTCTGGAAGCAACTTTTCGCACTGTTCGGGACTCGCTTAGCCATGTCGTCTGCGTACCATCCAGAGACAGACGGACAGACCGAGCGTGTGAACCAGACCTTGGAGCAGATTCTTCGCAGCATCACGATGCACGACGCAGCCGCATGGGACAAGAAGCTGAGCATGGCCGAGTTCGCCTACAACAACACGCACCACTCGTCCACAGGCATGTCACCGTTTTTCGCACTGTACGGTCAGCACCCCAACGTCCCCACTCGTGTCGATCTCACACCCACAGTCCCTCGTGCGGACAACTTCCACCAGCATCTCACATTCATCCATGATCATGTGAGGAAGCACCTTGAGCTCGCAAATGCACGCATGGCACGCACCACCAACCGCAGTCGTCGTGAGGTGTCGTTCGCAGTCGGCGACCGTGTTCTCTTGGATAGCCGCAACCTCCGACTGCCACAGGACAGCAAGCTTCGTCCACGTTTCATTGGTCCATTTGTCATGGAGCGCGCACTTGGTCCAGTCGCATACCGCCTTCGCCTTCCCGCTCATTTCCGCATGCACCCGTCATTCCACGTGTCGCTTCTTCGTCCTTACACCGATCCCAATGCCACCTTCTCGGGCCGTGACCGCACTCCACTGCCGGTAGCTGTTGACACCGACGAGCCCGACTACCAGATCCAGCGCATCCTCAGGCACCGTCGCCGTCTCCAGAGGGGTGTCTCTTTCATCGACTTCTTGGTTCGTTGGCGTGGTTACGACGCAGCAGACGACAGCTGGGTTCCTTCGTCCTCGCTGTCTCCCGACAACGCTTGCCTCCAAGCGTACCTTCAGTCTGCAGGCGCCGCGGACGTCGCCTCCTTGGGAGGGGGGTAGTGTTACGGGGTACTTTCCTGTTCAAGGGTAGTTTACCCTAAACAGACCCCCAACCTTATCTCAACCCTATCTTCATCCAACTCATCCAAGATTTCCTAGATTTCCTTGTGCCACGTGGCACTCTAGTTCTCTTGCCTTCCAATTCCTACTCCCACAATCTACTTTCCAACCTTGTTTCTTGCATGCTACTTAAACCTTGCTTGTACTTGGCATTATCAACCAATTCTCATTCAACTCTTCTTCAATTACTCATTAACTTCTTCGCCTATTTCGCTAATAGTTCTTTCGCCAAAGTATTCCGCCGCGTTTCATCCTCGACTTAGTCGACCCCGCTAATTCTTTAGCGGACTTAGGCCGTCGGGCCTAAGAGTTGGGGTACATGTATGGCGATCAGTACAGTATGTTACCACAAATGCATATCGCCACGTCACACACCCCCTGTCTCATTTTCCCACGACAGCAGTCTTTCACTGGAGGTGGGAGGTTCTCGGCAGTCCCAAGAAGCAGCTCAACGCGTACAGCAGAAACACACAAGAACACAGCCAGGACGACCAGAGAAGTAGTCACACACTGGTTTTCCTAAAAACACAAGGACGATCTTAGGAAGGACGTGGCTTTCGCTACTGGTCTCTTGATTTAACCTGCAACTCGCGCCATGGCTGCTGTGTCCCAGCTCTCGCTGATCGCCTCCCCCTGCGTTAGATACACTGCGGCCGTCCGATGCGATGATGTCGCCAGATCGACGGTTACCTTCGCGTCGTCGTTCACTCCGTCGCGATTCGCAGGCGCCGCGTCGTCTTCCTCGTATGGCGGGAATACAGCACTAAGCGTGGCGATGCGCGTCGTTAAATCGCGAGCAGCGGTTACCTGCTCGCTACCTCACGCGTATGTCCTCCTCAACTCCCTTCGTTACCCTCCGTTCGCGTTTTCGCAACCCTCGCTTGGTGCTTGCGCCACCACGCTCTTCCATTGACCCTTGCGGTTTAATCAACGTTCTAATCAGAGTGCCGCGAGTTACTTGTCAAACCCTTTTGTCGGACACCCATTCACCAAGAGCCCACCGCAATTGCTTAACCCTGGTGTTTATTTCTTCGAAACGGCTGACCTCTTAGTTGACTACGTTCGTGTACATATCGTTTGTAACTCCATGAGTCATACAACATAATGCCGAAATGTTAGTACCGAATGGTTCTTTTGACCGGCTTGCGCGGCGGCATTCAGGCTTACGACCCTTTTGATCCGTCTTTTTATCATCACGGTAGCGCTTTGGGTGTTCATGGTGTCAGGACCTCGTCGCGTCGTACGAAACCAAAGCTAAAGTCAAACGGATACCACGGATTAGGTTTCGGGGTTACGAATGGCTTATTGGGGTGGCCTCGTCTGCTCGACTGAGTCTCACGGGTGTCGGATGTGCTCCGAGAAAATTTTAAAGGCGTAGTCAGCAAATTCCTTTAGTACTCCGAAGATGAGATGAGAGGACTGGCTTGCTTCAGTGGCCTCGTTTGCTTTATTGAACCCTGCCGCTGGTAGTCCCGCGTGCATTAGCATTAGCGCGCCTATCAGTTGCCTTAACCACGCACACCATTGGGTTCGTACTTCTCATGGTTAACCATTGCCTAGTACTTGTCCATTGCTCTTGTTTATGGGACGTCTGTACTCTCATCCTCAGTAGTCTCGCCCACGGCTCACTATTGGGTTCGCACAAGTCCAATGCCCTCTCATCAGATCAAACTTCCGTCCTTTCACCATCAGGTGCTTCATCCATCAATGTTCTCCCTTTTCTTTCCTCCGTGTATGACTGTGTGATTTCACATGTTCCTGGTTGCAGGAAGTAAGTTCCACATGCCATCTGCCACCGTCACTGTCCCAGGCTTCATCACACGTTCCTGCCGACTTGATGCCACGTCATGCCGCGTCATGGCATGGCATGTCATCCTTGATATGGCGTTTCTGGCCTGGCATGGCCCGGCATTGCATGTGTCACAAAGGATGGCGTGGGATGGCATGGGTTCTCGTGTGTATAGATTGGGATGGGTTGGGATGGCAGCGCATGGCATGGGATAGCATGGGGTGGCATGGATATGCTGCACCTGGCATGGGATGGGGTGCGCATGGGGTAGATTGACATGGGGTGGCAGACATGTAATAGCCTGTGCTACATACATTGCATGGTATGGCATGACATGGCATGGTATGGCATGGTATGGCATGCATCCTCGTTCCCCCATGCGCCCCCCCCCTCTCCCTGTCCTTTCTCACCCCTGTCCCTATGCTGTCACCCTCTCTCCCCGTGCCGTGTCCCCCCCTCCCCCCCGGAAGCGGGGAGGCCGCCACCCTGTCTCCGTGCTGTCTCCCCCCTCTCCCTTCGAGTGGCCTCAACGTCAGTCCCACCCAGCAGCCACATTATCCCTGTTTGAGAATCCTCAGATGTGACTCAGATCTCGGTACGGTACAGCTTGAGTACCTTGGAGTGATCACACTACCCGTCCTGTCCCACCTGCCACCCTTGTTCTTCTCCGTGTCCCTCTTCCCGCTCCCTCATTGTTCCCTCCCGACCAACCAGCTGGTCCGCTCGGGCCATCAAGACGTTCGGCATGGCGGAGCTGGAGGCTCGGAAGCTCAAGTACCCCACCACTGGCACGGAGGCGCTGCTGATGGGCATGCTCACAGAAGGTGAGTGCTGTTCTGTGAATGCCTTCCATGCTCACTGTGGGGTTCAGTTACTGCTTATACCACTGTTAACTGTTCACCATACAACAGTGGGTGGGTGCAAGCTCTCAAGCACGACTCTCGCATGGCACGAAGGCGCTGCTTATGGGCGTGCTCATTAGGGGTACCGATTTGTGACTTCTTCTCATGAGAAGAATGTGCATACTGGGTATGCTTGCTGAATGCTGGCATTGCTGTTGATAGCACTGGTTACCGTGAAACCCTATAAAGCAATTTCGAGTGAACCCAGCACTGGCAGAGAGGCGCTGCTCACTGGAATGCTCTCTCCTTCACGCATACCTATTCCCTTCCCTCTTCCTACACCCCTCCCTCCCCGTCCCTACTCACACACATCTCTTCTGTTCTCCCCAGGCACCAACTACGGCGCACGGTTCATGCGCGCCAACAGCATCAAGCTGATGGGCCTGCGGGTGAGGACGGTGGAGCTGCTGGGGAAGGCCGATATGTACTACTTCAGTGCCGAGCACCCCTTGTTCGACTTCCCTTCCCCACTCCCTCCCACTCTCTCACACACACCTGCTGCGTGCTGCTTGGTGCTCCCACCAGGCACCAACTACGGGGCGCGCTTCATGCGTGCCAATGGCATCAAGCTGATGGACCTGCGCGTGAGGACGGTGGAGCTGCTGGGGAAGGCCGACATGTACTATTTCAGTGCCGAGCACCCGCCGCTCACTGAGCCCGCCCTGGCTGCCCTGCAGTGGGCCATCGCCAAGCACAAGGAGCTCGGTGCGTTCTGTTGGGCTGTGGGCTGGGCTGTGGGTTGGGCTGTGCGTTGGGCTGTGCGTTGGGCTGTGGGCTGGGCTGTGGGTTGGGCTGTGCGTTGGGCTGTGCGTTGGGCTGTGCGTTGGGCTGTGCGTTGGGCTGTGCGTTGGGCTGTGCGTTGGGCTGTGCGTTGGGCTGTGCGTTGGGCTGTGCGTTGGGCTGTGCGTTGGGCTGTGCGTTGGGCTGTGCGTTGGGCTGTGCGTTGGGCTGTGAGTTTCTGAGTATCTTTCTCACTGAGCCGGTGGTGGCCGCGCTGCAGTGGGCCATTGCCAAGCACAAGGAGCTCGACGCATTGGGCTGCGCCCTGTGACATGCTGTGATCTCCTGTCTTCTGCCTTTGTCTCTTGTCTCCCCTGCCTCGCCTGCCTGCCTGGTCTCCCTGCTGGATGCCCCGTGCCTTCTCCTGCATTTGTCCCTTACCGAACGTGCAATCACCACAGTGCAGTGGGCCGTTGTCAAGCTTTTCTTCGTTCAGCTTCGTGCACTCAGGCTTCAATGCTTCGTGCCTCCCCACACTCACTCTCGCACAGAAGAGGCACTGACTGCTTCTCTGGAGCTCCTCTCATCAGACTCCCAACCCATTCGCCTTTCCCCCCTTGTCTCCCAACAAACCACGCTCTGCCATGCCCCCAACCACACCATCAGTCTCCCAACCCATTTGCCTCTCCCCCCTCCTCCCACGACAAACCACGCTCTGCCATGCCCCCAACCACACCTGCAACCATCCCCCTCATCTTGCGCAAGCAGGGCGGGCGGGGGAGATCTCGACGGCGCTCATTCTGCTGGGCATCTGGGAGCAGCGGGAGCCCGCCGGCCACAAGCTGCTCGCCCAGCTGCGTGATAGCGACCTTGTTTCGAGACATGTCAAAGCAAAGAGGCACAGACCATTCAGGCTCTTCCAGCTCTTCTCATCACACTCCCCCACCACATCACCTCTCTGCAATGCCCCGAACCACCACCCCTGACCGTGCTGCGACCCACCAGGGCGGACGGGGGAGATCTCAACGGCGCTCATCCTGCTGGGCATCTGGGAGCAGCGCGAGTCTGCCGGCCACAAGCTGCTCGCCCAGCTCGGCTTCCACGACGCCCTCGCCTCGCAACTCACCGCCGATGTCAGTAGCCCCCAGCTCCCACTCACTCCCTACATCCATCCCTCCCGGCGTTTTGCTTCCCCTGCCTCCCCCCCTTGTGGCAACTCACCGCCAATGTCAGTAGCCCCCCGCTCTCACTCACTCCCTCCTCTCCGTTCCTCCAGGCGTTTTGCCTCCCCCCCTTGTGGCAACTCACCGCCGATGTCACTCTGACTCCTGCTCCCACTCGCTCCCTCCCTCTCTCCCTTCCTCCACGCTTCTCTCCCCCCAACCACCCTCATCCCCAGTCTCTCCCCCCCCCCCCCCCCCCCCCCCCCCCTCCTTCCTCCCCCCCGCTTCTCCCTCTTCCCCTGAACTTTCTTCCTTCCCTACTAGATCTCCCTCTCCTTCCCTTCCAAACCTCGTGGCTTCTTTGTACCTAAATGCTTCCCAATTCACCTTAGTGTTTAGGTGTTGCAGGGTTTGCTTAGCATCTGCTCTGCAGTTCACCCATTTTTCTTGTTCCTATGTGTTTCTTCTCTTTTGGTGTTTCGTTTGCTCGCAGCTTTCAGCGGTCGCTGCCTAGGTTTGAGCTGCAATGTTTATCTCCTACATTCCTAGTGTATTTGCTAAAAAATGATATAGTGAAACGTAAGCCAGTTGCAGTTATACTAACGACTTTCGGTTTAATTGCGGATTTCAACACCCAACACTCATCGCAGTGGGCCCGTTGGCATAGTTGTCGGCTTGCAAACTTCCAGCAAGCGTCCTGCGGAATTTCAGCCACAGGCTGGTTATCCAACCGTCTGTTGCCAGATTTTTCCATTTCGCGGCTCGTCGTCACATGCCCAATCAATCACTTGCGAAGACCACAAACACGTACGTCAATTCGCAAACGGATTTCGCACATTGCGAACGAAATTTACTTTGTCGACAACAGTTGAAGTTTTCGTTCAGGTGTCCGGTTACGGTACTCGGCTGCTTCGCGAATCTTCCCTTGCCTCGAAAGGCATCACGGTCCTGTTGCCAACATCAACAACCTACCTCCCACCTAAGACTGCCCTAAATTTCCGCGCAGAAAGACATTCCATAATCGTTTCTTCCCTCCACGAGCAAATGTCGTAAATCGTCGCCGCTTTCGGGTCACGAGTAACCCTCGCGATCAAGGCCCATCGCCTCTCATCTGCCGCCGCTGTTCGCCTCGCCCTCCACTAGTTGCCTTATCGCCCTCACTTTCCCGCTCGGGCCCCTCGCTCCTCTCGCTCCTCTCGCTCCTCTCGCGCTTCACGTTGTTCCGCGACAGCTCGCGCCACCCTCCACCTCCCCCACGCCTTCGATTCCCCGCTCCGCTCCATCCTCCCCCGCAACTTTCCGCTTCCGCGTCCTCCCCTGGTCCTCGTCCTCGATAGCGGATTCCGCGCGCCCCCCCCTTGCCCACTCCCCCTCCCCTGTCCCATCCCCGCCCCCGTCACTCCCGCAAGGCCCATTTGGGCATATTGGGTGCCGCACGCCCATCCCACGCCGCTTCCGCGCATCCCATCCCGCCTCCGCCCCGCGCATCCCATCCTCCGTTACTTCCGCGCACCCCATCCCCCCTTCGCCCCTTCCGCGCACCCCATCCCGCATCCGCCCCTTCCGCGCTCCCCATCTTTTGAGTCGACTCAGAAGCAGACGCATCCCATCCCGCCTCCGCCGCTTCCGCGCGCCATCCGCACACCCCGTTTGCGCGTTTCCGAGAAAGAGTGTGCGGCGCATCCTGTCCGTTAGGAAAATACTTATGCGCCAATCCGCTTGAAGCAATTCCCCGTCAATCGCGGCGTTATGGGCGGCGAGTCAGGGCGCGTGATCCGCGTTCGCCCGGCGGTCTAGCGGCGATCACGCTTGTCTCGTCTGCAGAAACTCGATAAAGGTACAAGATGCTAACGGGTATGAGGGTAGAGGAGTCTGGTATGGCATGACATGGCATGGGTGGGATGGCATGGTGTGGCAGGTATGGTATGGTATGGTATGGTATGGTATGGTATGGTATGGTATGGTATGGTATGGTATGGTATGGTATGGTATGGTATGGTATGATATGACACAGGAGGAGATGGCATGGCATGGCATGGCACGGTATGGTATTAGTGTGGTGCGGTGTGGTGTGGTGTGGTGTGGTGTGGTGTGGTGTGGTGTGGAATGGTGTGGTGTGATCAAGCCACACCAAGAGTATGACATGCCATGACATTTCTTATAGCATGCCACGTCCATTCATGCCTTGGCATCCCATCCGAGTACAAAGTGAAAATGGCTATGTGGCTTAGGAGAAGAACAATCAGTAGCACATCTGCTGTCCATCCATTTACATCAAGCCAAGACCCATGCCAACCCATGTGACCATAACTTGGATTATTGCATCCCGTGCCATCTCATCCTTCCCTTTCATATTACATTCACTAATAGGATAATACATTTATGTCCAGCGCACGAGCCGTATTCTTTGCCACGCCTACCCACATGACTGACGATTTTCGCTATTCCATCCCATTCCATGCCAACCCACTCCGTGCCACGTCAGCACAGCAGCCATGGACGTGGCGACAGCGACCAATCTCCACACGCCACTTGGCGCCGCGGCAGGCGGCGCGGCCCCGGCACCAATGGCGCAGCAGTATGAGCTAGAGGTGGTGGGGGTGCCGACCTATGGCGGCGCTTACACGCGATACGACATCTGCGGACATATCTTTGAGGTGTCGGCTAAATACGTGAAGCCCATTCGGCCCATTGGACGCGGGGCGTACGGCATTGTGTGGTGAGTGGGGAGTGGTGGGGGTAGGGAGGAAGGAGTGCGTTGTCTGGTGTGTGGGGAGTGGGGTGGTGTGTGGTGGGTGCTGTATGGGGGCGCTTACACGCGATACGACATCTGCGGGCATACCTGTCTTCGAAATATGTGAAGCCAATTCGGCCGATTGGAGTGGGGTGAGTGGGGAGTGGGTGGGGGATGTCTAATTCACCTCTTCACACCCATCCACCCACTCACAACCATTCACACCGATTGTGTTTGCGGATTTGCATCTGTGAAGCCATAGATGAGCATTCGTAAGTGTGTCATTCACATCACACCACGCGCCATGCACCTCAGCAGCGGACATGCTGACAGGGGAGGAGGTGGCGATGAATGGATGAACGGAGGCTTGAAGCACAACCACTGACTCACTGCTCTATGCCCATCCTTGCGCACACACACACACGGCTCAGCAGTGGACATGCTGACAGAGGAGGAGGATGGCTGTAGCACGCCTGTCAACCCACCGTTCCATCCATGCACCCATCCATGCCAATCCACCCATCCCCAATCATCCGTCTGCCCGTGCAGCTCAGCGGTGGACATAGAGATGGAGGAGGAGGTGGCGATCAAGAAGAATCTAAACGCCTTCGCTGTAATGGACACCCATCCACACCCCTCCATACCCATTTACACCCCTCCATACCTATCCCTCCACGCCTGCAGCTCCGCATTGGACATAGACAGAGGAGGAGGTGGCAAAAAAGAAGATCTCAAACGCCCTTCATGCGATAAACCCATCCACACCTCTCCACACCCATCCACACCCCTCCACCCATACAGTTCAGCAGTGGATATTGAAACAGAAGAGGAGGTAGCGATCAAGAAGATCTCAAACGCGTTTGACAATCGCATCGATGCCAAGCGCACCCTGAGAGAGATCAAGCTGTTGCGGCACTTCGACCATGAGAACGTGAGCACATGCTTTTAGCCCACGGTGTGGTGTGGGTGTGTGTGTGTCACGTGAATGAGGCACTTCAACTCAACTGCATTGACGCCAGGCGCACCCTGCGGGAGATCAAGCTGTTGAGGCACTTCGACCATGAGAACGTGAGTGGGGCAGGCAGGTGCATGTTCTCGACATGATGTGATGTAGATGCATCGTGATCTTCAATCACATCGACGCCAAGCGCACCCTGCGAGAGATCAAGCTGCTGCTGCGGCACTTCGACCATGAGAACGTGAGTGGGGTAGTGAGGGAAGGAAGACGTGAGTTCTGGCACCTTGAACATGAGAACGTGGGTAAGGAGATGGGTGAGTGAGAATGCGAGTGAGGAAGCTTGACCTTTTGGTAGCCTTTTAAGGCAGGAGCTTGACATGCTTGTTTATTGGTGAATTCCTTCCATCCATCCATCCACCCTCCCATCCATCCATCCCCTTTATAGGTGGTCGCGCTAAGAGATGTGATTCCTCCGCCTGACCGCTCGAGCTTCAACGACGTGTATGTGGTGTACGAGCTGATGGACACGGACCTGCATCAGATCATCCAATCGGGGCAAATGCTGTCAGAGGAGCACTGCCAGGTGTGTGTGTCGAAGATAAGGGGTTGCTTCAAGCACTCTGCATGCATGTATGTGGTGTACGAGCTGATGGACACGGATCTGCACCAGATCATCCAGTCAGGGCAAATACTATCGGAGGAGCACTGCCAGGTGTGTTGATGTGTATGTGAGGAGGGGGTAGGGGAGAGGGTACACAGCGAGCATGTGAGTGTATGTGGTGTACGAGCTGATGGACACGGACATGCATCAGATCATTCAATCGGGGTAAATGCTGTCTGAAGAGCACTGCCAGGTGTGTGCGTGGGTGCATCATGCCCTGGGTAATGGGTAGCTGGAGGGCGCAGGGGGTGTATGTCTTCTGAGCTTGATCGGGTTCTCAACCGCATCTATGTGGTGAACAAGATGACGGACATGCCATTGGAAGAGCATGTGCCAGGCGGGTGGGTGGGTGCATGTCCAGGGATGCACCATACACCATGCAGGGGTATGAGCTGATGGACACGGACATGCATCAGATCATTCAGTCCGGACAAATGCTGTCAGAGGAGCACTGCCAGGTGTCATATACTAGGTACATCCACGGCGCCAAGACTTTTGAGTCGACTCAAAAGCCGCCAGTGTGCTTTTTTTAACGTGATTCTCAACCGCATCCATTGACAGATGCGGATGGTGCGTTATTCAGCCCCCTCCAACCTTTTGCTCCCCCTCTCCCTGCACCATCCGCTTCCCCTCCTTTCCCCCTTGGCAGTATTTCCTCGACCAGCTATTGCGCGGGTTAAAGCACATCCACAGCGCCAGCGCGCTGCATCACCATGGCTTAAAGCCCTCCAACCTGCTGCTCCTCTCCCTCCCCCCTCTTACGTCCTTCTTCCCACTCAATCGCCCCCCCTCCCCACCAACAATACTTCCTCTACCAGCTATTGCGCGGGTTGAAGCACATCCACAGCGCCAGCACGCTGCATCGCAGCCCTCTAACATCCTTCTCCGCACACGCTCAACTACCCTCACCCTCTCTCCCCACCAACAGTACTTCCTCTACCAGCTATTGCGCGGGTTGAAGTACATCCACAGTGCCAGCGTGCTGCATCGGGACTTGAAGCCCTCTAATCTGCTCCTCAGTGCAAACTGCGACCTCAAGATATGCGACTTTGGCCTTGCAAGGTGCGTGTGTGCGCATGTGTTACAAGTATGGGGAGTCTCGGGGAGGGGAAGGGGTTGAGTGGGGAGGGGAAGGGGTCGAGTGGGGAGGGGAAGGGGTCG